CCCCCACCTCCTCGTAATCCTTCTCCAGGGCGGCCATGTCCTCCCGGGCCTCCGAGAACTCCCCCTCCTCCATGCCCTCCCCCACGTACCAGTGCACGAACGCCCGCTTGGCGTACATCAGGTCAAACTTGTGGTCCAGGCGGGCCCAGGCCTCGGCGATGGCCGTGGTGTTGCTCAGCATGCACACGGCGCGCTGCACCTTGGCCAGGTCCCCCCCGGGCACCACCGTGGGCGGCTGGTAGTTGATGCCCACCTTGAAACCAGTTGGGCACCCGTCCACGAACTGGATGGTGCGCTTGGGCCTGATGGGGGGGGTGGCGTGACATCCTTGGGCACCACGTCCCCGCGGTACAGCAGGCAGCACGCCATGTACTTGCCGTGCCGCGGGTCGCACTTTACCATCTGGTTGGCCGGCTCAAAGCAGGCGTTGGTGATCTCGGCCACCGAGAGCTGCTCATGGTAAGCCTTCTCGGCCGAGATGACGGGGGCGTAGGTGGCCAGCGGGAAGTGGATGCGGGGGTACGGCACCAGGTTGGTCTGGAACTCCGTCAGGTCGACGTTCAGCGCCCCGTCAAAGCGCAGGGAGGCCGTGATGGAGGACACGATCTGGCTGATGAGGCGGTTGAGGTTGGTGTAGGTGGGCCTCTCGATGTCCAGGTTGCGGCGGCAGATGTCATAGATGGCCTCGTTGTCCACCATGAAGGCGCAGTCGGAGTGCTCCAGGGTGGTGTGGGTGGTGAGGATGGAGTTGTAGGGCTCCACCACGGCCGTGGAGACCTGCGGGGCCGGGTAGATGGAGAACTCCAGCTTGGACTTCTTGCCGTAGTCGACGGACAGGCGCTCCATGAGCAGGGAGGTGAAGCCGGAGCCGGTGCCGCCCCCGAAGCTGTGGAAGACCAGGAAGCCCTGCAGCCCCGTGCACTGGTCAGCCTGGAAGAAGGGAAGAGAAAACAAGACCGATCCATCAGTAATTCTGAATTGAAGGTGCTACCAAGTTGCCCAGGAAGGCAAATATTCACCCCAGGATCTCAGGCCTTTGGGGACTTGTCTTGGGGACGCAGGCAGGGGCAGGCACCTGCCCGAATGCCCAAGCTCCACTTCCAGCCACAGCATCCTCTGCGTTGGCATGGCCGGCCCTCAGGGAAAGGGAGGAACTGCGGGACACTCAGCTCCTTCCCGCTACAGGAGTGGGCCCTGCTGCGCTTGCACCCAGCACAACCCAGGCGCTCTGCTTTGGGGAAGGGGAAACCCATGGTGCTTTATAGGGGCATCTTAGGGCATCCAGAGCCGCCATCCTGGGGCACGCCTGGGCAGGAGGCTGGTGGCCATCGAGGTTTGCTGGGCACCAGCACTCCCCTCCCAGGGCACGAGCTGCCCCAGCACAAGCTAAACACAGAGCACAACCGCTCATAAGCAGTTGGTCAAGAAGGATCAGAGTCCGGATCAAGGAGAAACCTCACATGACCCTAAGAAGGGATGAATTAAGGTTTCCCCAAGGGCAGAAAGGAGCCAGCCTCCCTCCAAGCCCCATCTCAGCCCCCGGCACACTCCACCCTCAGCCCACATCCTGGGCTTGCAGCTACGGTGGGTTTGCAGGGTCCCGAGGAAGGGGATTCAGCCCATGGGGAGGGGAAAGGGCTGATCCCCATCTCCACTCACAGGATCCAGACCCCCCCCAGGGAGCCCCAACCTGGTGCAGGGTGACAAGAACCATAAAATGCACCCGGACCATGGAGGCAGAGCCCGGCTCCTCATCACCATCCAGGTCCCACTGGAGGGTTCCCTTTTCCCCACCGGCTGCAGTGGTGCTGGCCCCA